AAAAAAAAAAAAAAAAAAAAAAAAGGCATGTCTTCAAGACTCTCAAAGAGTTAAATCTGTTGCCTCGAATTCTAGGAAAGAGAGAGCCAGAATCATCCCAATACTAACTAAATTCAACTTCAAACTAGAGGTGGAAGGGACCTGCCTAAGATCACCTAGCGCTAAGGCCAGGCTCTTTCAAAGAAGGTTCTCTTCCGTCGAGGCCCCGCTGTACGCTGGGGAACCGGCCTCCAGAACCCGTCCTCCCTACCCTAACCCACTTGGGTCTCAGCTCACCTCCCACGCCACGTGGCACTAAGTGGGTTCCCCGGAGGTCAAGACAGCAGGAGGCGGAGCCCGTCCGGAAACCCGCCCAGGGGCATCATGGGAGATGTAGTTTTCCTCGCCGGCACAGAAAGGGTGCGAGGTCTTCCCTGATTTTGCCTACTAAGTAGCATCCCCTGCGTGCAAGTCTTTAAAGCCAAGTGTTACCCCATTATAGATGTAGCCTAGGTATCTTTGAAAGAAGTCACGAAGGGGAAGGGGCAAAGCAAGGAAGGCAACTCAACAGATTATCAGCAGGGAAATGAAAGGGTTAACAGTTACTACGCATGCGCACAGAGGGCTCGCCGGGTAGGCGGGGACGGAAGACAACTCCCGGGAGCTGTGTTTTCCCCGGAAGTGCCTTCCCTCCTCCCGGGTCCGCGCGGACGCGGTTTCCTTACCTCATTTGTCCTCGCCCCTCCCCATCCCTCTACGCGCTTTGGTTCCTGGTTGGTGCTTCCTGGTCGCAGCCGCGGCAGTGAGTATGTGTGTGACGGACCCCCAGCCGCCCGCGGCCGGGGGACCCCTGCCCGCCCTCCGCCTCTCTCGCAGGGCTGTGGAACTAGCTCGTGTCCCCTCCCCGGCCTCCGCGCCCCCCGTCTATCCTTACTCGTGGCAGGGTGCAGCTCGTGGCCCCTCAGTCGTGTTCTGCCTCTTGCGGCTCGGCTGACCGGCTGGGGTGTTCGCTTCTCCCTACTCGGCCAGGGGCGAGGTCGTGGTTCAAAAAACGCTGGGCACCCATGGCCTTGGTGGGGGTGGCGTTTCTACCCCATGCCTTTTATCCTCCCCCAGTTCCCGTTTTTTTGTTTTTTTTTGTTTTTTTGTTTTTGTTTATTTTTAGGGAAGCCGGTCAGTCAGTTAAACGCGGAGGTCCTGCCTCACTGAGGGAGCCCGGCTTGTGGGGGACGGAATAGCCCAACTCCAGTCTCTGCTGTCAGAAGCAACAGCTACAACTGTGGGGTCAGAAAATTTTAGGGGGTTGTGCTACTTGCCCTATGTAAAACAGGGAGATTTGGACTGTGTGCACCAAGATTTGCTATATCCCTCACATCCTGTGAGCCCGCAGTTAACTTCCAACTTTAAAAGCTGCAGGTGCAGTGGGAGAACTGGCTGGGAGTCAGCAGGCCTCGGTTCTAGTCGTGGCTCCACCACTGAATCGCTGGTGACTCTAGGAATCTCATGTTAAGGCTGAATTTACCTCCGTTTCACATTACAGGATCCAGTGAGGAGATCTTTAGGCTCAATGAATAAATAAGCTTCTCAGAGAGCCCGTTTCTGTATACATAAAATGAGAGCGTGCAAGTTAGTGACTGTCCATTCCAAAGCTCTTGACTTTGTGTTTCGAATACTTTTGCTGTAACATGCAAAGACTCTGAAATGGGCTGTGTGTATATTTCAGACAGGATTACCTTTGGGGGACAGTTCAGTATTGTTGTTTTCCAGAATCTGAGGGTAGGGGATGAACTGAGGAAGACCTGGAAGTGAGGATTATAAAGTGGCTACAAGAGTAAGGTGCTGTGTAGTAAAAGGAAGAAGGTTTGAGAGAAAGGTGAAGGAAGTGTTTTGAGATAGGATTAGTTATCATAAAAAGACTATGTATACCAAGAACAGCTAGACTTGTCTGAATAAATTTAGCATAACTTTCTCCCACCAATATCTTGTGTTGTCTCCTTTTTTTTTTTTTTTTTTTTTTTTTTTTTTTTTTTTTTGTGAGTGTCGTTTCACAGATTTGAATTCTCTACCCTAGTCAGATTTGCTTCAGAGTGAAAATTATATTTGAAGAATAGGCAGAGATTTTCATTCTAGACTGAACTTCATAGTGTTTCAAATCTGTCACTGTCAGGATAGCTAGCAGAGTATATAAATATAATAGAGTATGTCAGAAATTTTAAGTTGAAAATCAACTATGTCTATTAATCACTTTCCAGTGAACATATGGACTTAAGGAGTAATGTGATTTGAATGTTGAAATGGATACCTATGTCATCAAGAAGAAACATTTAGGCTAAAAGTTCTTTGGAAGGAAATAAGAGCAAAAGGTCTGGAATGACCAGCTGGTAGACTGTTAGAGCAGAAAAGTATTGGCCTCAAAAATACTGTAGTAAAATATACAAGCTTAAAATAAGCCTTAAGTTGTGTAGTTTAAAAATTTTTAGTGAATGAAAACTACTCCCACTTTTGAATGGTGAGAGTCTTTGCAGTGATTCTCTATGCCTGTTTTTTATTTGTTAAACCATTTTAATTTTATGAATAAATTTTATTCTCAAACTGGGTGTTTTAGGTTTTAAGAACCATCTTCTTTGGTCATGGGATTGCTGTACTCTTGAGTACCAACTTGCAAGGTTCTTGGATGGTAAAGTGATAATAAATTCACATGTATGCTTTTCCTTCCAATTAAAATGCCTCTTTCATAGTTTTTATACTCCACTGGGAAGTGAAATGGATATTTTTGAGATAAACTTAGGTGTTAGAACCAATGCAAATATAGCTTTGAAGGAAGCTTTTTAAAAAAAATTTTTATTTGAAATTATTTTGGAAAAGTGAAAAAAAAAAGTCTTAGTGAACACTTGGCTAAGAGTCAGGGAAATGTGAATCTGTCCCACCTATGTTCTTAATCAGCTGCATAACCTTGGATAGTCTTCCTTATCTCTTTGGGCTTTAATTTCCTTATGTGTAAGTTGAGGAGGTTGTGTGAGATAATCAGGAAGGTCTCTTTGAGGCTTAAAATTTTGTGGCTCTCATAGGGACCTTATGTTATCTAGTTAAGTATGCTTGAGATCGTATATAATGATTAAAAGCTGAGAAAGTCTTCTAGTTCAAGATGTGTGTGTGTATTTATTTATTTCATATTTGTCCTGCGAGTATATACTTAAAAAAAATTAAATGCATTTGAATGTGATTAAAGTAGTACATAAACATAAACCAAAATAGCCTCGGGCAAACCTTAACCCTGGCATACATAAGCTACATAAAGAGCAGAGCAAGTTATGCTGAGCACAATTTTCAAGTACAGAAGATACAAAATCCTCTTAAAGGCCATAGGGGCTAAATTGTTAAATTCATTTTTCTACATTTCAAGGAAAGAGATAAACCCCTAGACCCAAGGAAGTCAGTTTTTATTATATTTCTGTAGTTTATTTTTGGCATACATTCACAGGTGTGCCCGTGGCTCTTTTCTTAATCCCTTTCCTTTGGGATGGTTCCAAGAGTAGTACAAATTTGTAACTCTGTAATTTAGCTCTTTTAATTTTTTCTGTGCTGCACTGGAATTATGTTATTTATGTTTTATCAGTATGGATCCAGTGAGGATTTTGAAGGAAGCATAATTCCTTTGACTTCTTTCAGAATTAATTTACCTATTAAATAAAAAGGAAAGAATTCATCTTTTATTTGAATTGCTCTGAGGCTAACATTTCAATATAAACTGATAAATGCTATGAGCATTATTATTCAGACAGCCACATTTAACTTGTATGACAACAACAGCATAGCAACCTGAAGGACAGTGTAAGAATGGAACAGGTGTATCGTAACTTTTAGAAGAAAAAGGCATTTAAAAGTTGGTTTCTTCCCCCCACCCCCACCTTTATTGAGGTATAATTAACAAATAGCATTGTGTAAGTTTAAGGTGTACGATATCATGATCTGTTGTATGAAATAACTACCACATTGAGATTAATTAACACAGCCATCACCTCACATATTGTCTTCCTTTTTTTTTCCACCAGTGAGAACATTTTAAGATCTACTCTTAGCAGATTTCAAGAATACAATACTGTATTGTTAACTCAGAAGTTATCATTTTTACTGCCAGCTTTGTTGCGGTATAACTGAACATATAACATTGTGTAAATTTAAGGTGTATGACACGGTTTCTTTATTTCTGTGAACAGAGAAACTCCAGTGTAAGGAGTGCATTTTTGGCTTTTGTTCATTTGCTTCTTGGAGTCAGCTGGTTATATTACCAAAACTACCATCAGAACACTGACATTTGGGTCTGAAAATTGGTAAACTAAAAACAGCTGTCTTTCTGAATTGCATTTGTATAGCTAAAAAGGACGTGGAAAGAGTAAATTTTCATTGTTATTGTTCTTTAGGCTGTCCCTGATTTTTGAAAAAAACCTGAGTTATTTTTCCAGAGCTCTCATTTGGATCAGTATTCCATCAGTACCTCATTGAAACATCTGTGTAGATTTTGGGTTGATATGAGAATAGTTGGAATAGTTGGAGACAACTGTGAACTTCGTCCCACCATAATTTCCATATTTTAGGCCCATACTAGATTTATTAGTACTGAAGAGCAAATGCCAGATAATATTATTCTTTTATTTATTTATCCGTTAATTCAACAGACATTTATGCAGGTCCTGCCAAATCCCAGTTACTCTGCTTGGCTTGGGGGATCCAGCGTTTAACAAAGTGCATATAGTTTCTGCTCTCCTGGGCTATGTCCTCTGTTTTTGTGGGAGATTTACATTGAATTAGTAATTAGAACTGTGGTGAGTGTTTTGAAATGTAAAGTGCTATGGAAGCCTATAAAAGGGACACTTAATTTAGTCTGGTGGGTCAAGGGAAGCTTCTCAGAAAAGTGATGTTTAAGCTGAGTGGAAGGTGAATAAGATTTAATATGCCACAGTAGGAAAATAAAGTGCTCCTGTAGCTAGGAGTTTGCCTCAGTTTTAGGTGTGTGTGTTTCACACACATCTTTATTGCTAGTACAAAAGTAAACCATGGCTTATTACGTATTTTTATGTATTCTTTTAGTCAAGTTAAGGTCATGAGATTAATTTTTTGATTGAAAATAAAAATCTGCACTAAAACAGTAAATATGATTGTTTCCTGTAGTGGGTTTTCATTAAAGTTGAAGTGATATTTCTATGTGAGAATGCATATCTGAAAAGATGAGAGGAAGAGCCAGAACCAGGGAAGAGATGAAAAATGGATGGACTAGTGAGAATGACTTAAAACATTCTTGTGATTTTTAACATTTTAGGGGAAAAAAATGTTTGGTGTCTGAACCAGTGGATGTCAACCTATTTTTTTCTTTCTGTCACACCTGCAAAATATTGTGTTTCCACTAATAGCTGTAAGTCAATTTGTTGGTAGTAATTTTCATTTGGGAGGGGTGGGCATTGTTAGAGTAGGTCATAACAGGATTTGGAAATCCTTGAAAAAAAGGTACTCTAAGAGGAAAAGGTATTTTAATATGTCACTGAGAACAGTGATGGCTTTCACAGTAGTTAGCTCTAAGGTGATATTGTTATGCACTAAACAGGCATGATCTGAGCTTTTAAAATACATTCTTTGTGGTTTTCTCTTTTACAGCATCAAGATTACTGACTTTCCATGATGTTTGGTGGTTATGAGACTATAGAAGCATACGAAGATGACCTTTATCGTGAAGAGTCCTCTAGTGAACTGAGTGTTGATAGTGAGGTGGAATTTCAGCTCTACAGCCAAGTTCATTATGCCCAAGATCTTGATAGTGTCATTAAAGAGGAAGAACATGAAGAGAAGAACTCTGGGAATTCTGAATCATCCATTAGTAAACCAAATCAGAAGAACTTAATTATCCTTTCGGATAGTGAGGTCATCCAGCTATCAGATGGGTCAGAGGTCATCACTTTGTCTGATGAAGATAGTATTTACAGATGCAAAAGAAAGAATTTTAGAGTCCAAGCAAAAGAAAAAACCCAAGGTCCTCCTGCATCTTTTCATTCTAATAAGTTGACTGATAAGAAATGCAAGAGGAATATTGAGAAGCCTAAATCTGAAGAGCTATCGGGTACAATCCGAGAGGTCATGATTATAGAGGTCAGTTCAAGTGAAGAGGAAGAGAGCACCATTTCAGAAAGTGATAACGTGGAGAACTGGATGCTGCTGGGATGTGAAGTTGATGATAAAGATGATGATATCCTTCTCAATCTTGTGGGATGTGAAAACTCTGTAAATGAAGGTTAGTATCATGTTGGCCATTTTGAAAAGTAGTACCATCTTTAATAAGGAAGACTGCTTTTCCTAGACAAAAGACCAATAGGGTCTGCTCCATTTAATTCCTCACCTTTCAGTCTTGTTTTTTGGCTTATTTCTCATGAGACTCTTACCAGTGGCTGCTCTAATAGTGGTCTGTCTGAACATCAGAAAGAGTATGTCAGAATATCAAAGACACTCTGCTTCTACTGTAAGCAAATTCATAGCTGCTTCTTCCTGTTTGGCTAGAGCCAGTTCTGGACCTGAAATCTTAGTCCCCCTCTCTCTCTACTTGGTATCACAGGTGAGTACTCCATCCATCTCTGACATTGGTCCTGTGTTCTCATTTGGCCAACTTTGTTGGGACTGCCTCTTCCTAAGTGATTTGCGTACCTAGGCATTAGCCAGGTAGCAAGCATGGGGAATGCTTGATACACAGAGGATATAGAATTAGTACTGAGATTTTAGGAACTCTACAGTCACTAAGATAGACTCTGAAAAGCTGTAAGTCTACAGTAGATTATAGGAGAAATCACATCACCAAAGATTGAAATTTTGGTGTGAGCTTTGTCTTCTCTGTCATATATTGCATCTAATCTTGATGCTTATTCCTTTAAAAAGTCCCTTTTGTTTCTGTCCCTGTATGCCTAATGCTAGACTCTTGCAGTGAGTGATTTCCTAAATGATCTTTTATATCTTCCCTGCACACTGTTGTTAAACTAGGAGTCTTGAAAGGCCCTTTTGCTCATGGTACTTTACTTTGCTCCAAAACCTTTAATAGTACCCACTTGTTCTCAGAGGAAATGATGGCATTGAATGTAGGTCATGCTTTGGAGCCCCAGTACTTGACCTCTTTTTATTTATTTATTTATATTTTTATTAAAAAAAAATTTTTTTTT